TTTTTTTTTTTTTTTTAGTACTTTATACCAAATATTTCTTGGCCCCTATTCTCTATGCATTTTCATTTCAAAGGAAGCCTGCACTAGGGTATGATCCTGTTGCTGACTACCTAAAATTGCTGGTTGTCTTCATAACACAGAGTTACTGACTCCTTATAAGCATACAATGAGTGAATTACTGATCTGGTTGCAAATCAGTGACTCCAAAAATCTTGACTCTGTTAGATAAGCAAGACAGCCAGACAATGAGCATTTTCAGGAGAGGCCAGCAACTGTGGCCTACAGATTTACATTTTAGTTTTGAGTTTAATACCAATTTAGATCCCAAAAAATAATGTATTGCTACTTACTATTCATTAGATGTGATGGCTACATTGCTTTTCTTTTTATCCTTTTTTATCCTTCTGTTTTCCTCTGGTGCTCTGGCCAGCAACGCATTTCATGTATTAGGGTGCCTACACTCTGGATAAAGGAGGTACCGATAACACCTTAGGACAACAGCGTTGTCATTCTGGGAGGAAGGGAGTGTTAGGAGTGCTAGCAGATTTACACTAACAAATTGAAGCCAGACTCCAGCTAAAGCCGGCCATACATGGGTTGAATTCCAAAATAATTTTCTTTCGAAAATCTTTTTTAAGAATTTTCATTCAAATTTCACACCATTAGTGGGTCACAGAAACAGACGTTTTTCGTGTGACCATCGAATCTGAGTAATCCAGGCATGTTGGAAAATATTTTGAAAAATGAACAAATTACGAATCAATGATGGGAGAATCGTGCAAGAAATCTAAACAAAAAAGAAATGAGCATGAGCTGTGACCTGGAAAGAAAAGAAAATTCTTGGCCACGAAAATTCTTTTCTGTAGCAATATGAGGTGAAATTGAAGGCTTGGTTGGTTGAATTTTGAAATCAGTGGTTACTCCATCAGGTTACAAAAATGCAAAAAATTTGTAATTTTCTAAAGAAAATTCATTTGGAATTCAACCTATGTATGGCCTGGTTCACACTAGTGTGATTTCAGATACAACTTGCATCGCACAGAATCGCAAGACAATGGAAATCACATTGCTTTTAATGGTGTCCGTTCTCATCAATGCAACTTGGCATAGAGCGATTTTGGAAAAAGTTCTTGTACTACCTTTTGCTACTCTTGTTACTTTGGTGCAATTCTGGTATGTTTTAGGCTCCAAACACTATACAAACCTTTTCAAAGTTACATCCAAGTGGCACTACATAATCACACTGAAAGTTGGATCAAATTGTATCACAACAGTGTGACCCTAGCCTAACACTTTTTAAGCTGGTACTACAAACTGTTTTTCCCTTTCTGGATAAGGGTTTTTTTTAAATAAAAGATTATCATTGTAAGCACCCCTGTCAGTGGTAAGTGGTTTGTTTTGACCCTCAAACTGCTACATCTGCAAGACAGCTTATTCTGTTGAGAAACAGACTTACTGGCTACATCAGCAGGTGAGAAAAGAAAGAAAATGAAACCAGATGTAACTTTTATTAATCAGTTAGCTGAATAATAATGTTTGCTTTTAGGTTTAAGTCAACAGTCACACCACTGCAATTTAAAATTGCGTGATTTGTGTGCAGTTTCAGCGCAATTTCATTTGCGATTTCTGAAGACTTTATTGCTACTTGTGAATATTTAGATTTGCAGTGCGATTTTTTCCATTATATTTTATGTATGTGAAATCGCAACAAAACTGCAGAAAAAGTAATGCAAGAACTACTTTAGAAATCATGCTGCAGCAAATCGCACATGTTAAAACACTGACATTCATTAGATGTGATTTCAGGTGCAAATTCAATTCACAAATCGCACATGAAATTGCACCGGTTTGAACGGGGACTATTACCACTTTAAGTTGCATGGTTCTTTTAGGGCAATATAAGTATTAAATTCACTTACACAGATATCCCTTAGGTGGAATTGAACAAAAAATTGGGTTAGATGCCTTACTAATAGATAATTCTATAAATACAGGCGTACCTCGGTTTACGAACGCCTCGGTTAACGTAATTTTTGGTTTACGAATGAAAAACCATTGAAAATAATGCTTCGGTTTACTAATTTTTTTCGCAATATGAAGTAACTTTATTTAGGTTTATTGCGCCGGTTTAAGTGCACTTTCTAAAGCATTTTGAACAGATACGACTTATTTTGACTTTTTTCTGACCTCTGGAACGGATTAATTGGTTTTCAATACATTTCTGAATCTTTTTTTAATTGTGTCCCTGTACAGTATTTATGCCTTTAAAGTGCACTTTATAAAGAGTTTTAAACAGATAAAAGACTTTTTTTTTTTTTTTGTTTTTTGTTTTTTTGTTTTTTTACTTTTTTTCTGATTTCCGGAACGGATTAATTGGTTTTCAATGCATTCCTTTGGGAAACCACGTTTCAGTTTACGAATTTTAGCAATACGAAACGTCCTGGAGAACGCATTAAATTTGTAAACTGAGGTACACCTATAGTATAGTATAGTATGGAGGAGTAGGTTTGATCCAGGAGATATATCTGGATGCAACTATAATGGCAAGTACATTTGTTTCCTTGGGTTACACCAGATGTTTTATTTCAATGTCTACTGCACAAAAAGTGTGAGATTTTATTAAAAGAATGATGGTCTTGATTCTATTTTTGAATTCTACTAGCTGTATATTTTGATAGTTGAAATGTATTGAATATTATACAATCATTGCTGCTTTTGCCACACAGTTGAAGGTATACAGTTAGATGGCTGGTGAGTTAGAAAATTTACATTTTTGTACTAGTATGATTGATTTTTTACCATTCAGTATGTATGTGGGGGCAATTATGGTAGATATGCAATGTAAAAAAAAATAAAAATCTTAAAGGTCTGCTTTTTAGGATGGGCATTTTCAGCTTGTTCTCAGTTGGTAATACTTTCATTGTCCACTCAGATCAATAGTGTGAATGGCACTGCAATACACAAAGGCAATGTGCCATAACACATGGTAGCAAAGTACTGTGCATTGTGGTGTGCGGTGTTGCAAAACAATGGTGCATGTCCTATTTCAGTCCACATTGGCGCACTGGTAGCCTATTCAAATGAATATGCTGCCTTAACCCAATGCACATTAAAGCATGACACAACATGCATGCAATGAACCCGAAATATCTGAAGAGACCTGCAACAAAGTTTAAAAATGCTTTGTAAAAGCTTGATGTGCACACTGCTCTTACCCCTAGTTCATATTAATGCGGGCCTGGTAGCCCATTCATTTGAATGGGCTGCTGTGTCCGCGGTAAACGCAGGGAAAAGGTGCATGCACCTTTTCCAAAACATGTCTGCCTGGAAACCGCATGGTCTTTTTGACAATGCGGCTTTAGTGCGGCTCCCATACCCACGATCGCACTGCGGGATGAGATGCATGTGGGTGCCATTCAGAATGAATAGCACCACCCACATCTCGCAAGAGAAATGTGTTGTGGTTGCAGCCATCAAATCGAGTCGCATTGATACCTGAAAACTGCCCACAGCGTGCAAGCTAGTGTGAATCTAGTTTGGCACATAGAGTAGTTAGGGCTGATTTACTAAAGAAATCAAGAATCTTCACACAATAAATTGTGTAAATATTCACTCAATAATCTAAGCATGTCCAAAATCCGATTCCTGTTCACTTGCTGAAGACTAAATCATGTGCAGATTGAATAATTAAAAAATTATCTGTCTGACAAGATTGCATAATTGAAGTGATTATTCACACAATTTTTGTATGAAGATTATCAACTCCTTTAGTAAATCAGCCTGCTGGGCTGAGGGCAATTTACTTTATAGGCCTATAGCTGTTGACTATATTCTCTGTCAGGATGTTGACCCCCATGGCACTTCTCTGGAGATTTGGCCAGCACTGATGGGGGTGGTGGCTAAGAAGTGCCCCCTGGATGAGTCCACTGAGTATGTGATTTATTTTTGCCTTTTTAAAAGGCAAGCTGATTTGAAACAGTACAGTTGATGATGACTTATAACCAAATACGTTGCACAACTGTTAGCAGTTAAATTTTGATGTGATCTGAAAGTGATGAACTAACAAAAAACATACAATGGGTCTTTTCTCACATATATGTGCAATGCATATGTCAACAGATGCGCTGAGGAATTTGCAGTATGTGCTGAGAATATGCTTTGAATAACTGGATTTATCTATAAAGAAAGTTGCAAAGAAATATGGCTAAGCCACAAATATTAATGCATACAAAAGAACTAAATTGTTCTTTAAACAATGTTTATTTGCTAAATGTTATGGATAGACCTTAAAAGCATATTATTATTTTATTTTTTTTTATTTAGTATAGGGTAGATTGTTAAAGCTGAACTCTAGGCAGATTAAAATAAAACACATTAATCTTTAATACATCATAACATTAAACTACTTTTACATGTTAGCAGTGTCAATACTTGAATTTGACCTGGTATCAGCAGATTGCAGTCCCTGTATAGCAAAATGTGTGTGCAAGGAAAAATTCCTACAGTGAGCCAATCGGTGCTGACCTGACCAGAAGCATGCGGATAGGAGGATAAAAGAGTGACAGAGATGAGCTCATTGCTGTGCTGCTTCTCCTGTCACTTTCCAGTTACAGGTTGGGGTGGATCCAGGATGACCTGGGACCAGAGGAAGTGGGTTAAATGATGCTGGACATCAGACTGAGGACATCAGACTGAGGACATCTAGTGGCATAAAAGTGTTCTAGGGAGACATTTCTGGATTGAATGTTAATATTGCAGCAAAAAAATTTGTACTTTTTTTTTTTTTTTTTGTTTGTTTTTTTTGTTTTTATGGTAACTTTCAATGGACTATCATTTGTATCTGGTTATTATTGCCTGGAGTTCCAACTTAAAACATTTATGTTCCCTAACCTGTTCCTGCTAACCATTTCTACCACCCAGCATTTTTGATTCAGCAAACATGAACATAATAAAATAATAAGGTAACATTTCGCAAACAAGTGGTAAAAACTGTCTATTGCAGGAGCGGACTGACCATTTGGAAACTCGGGCACTGCCCGAGGGCCCGGGGTCAGTAGGGGGCCCCATGAGATGCCCCTGGTACCTTTTTTTTCATAGGCTTTTTTGAGTTTGGGCAAGGACACAGGGGCTCCATGATCCCCTATTGCCCGGGGGCCCCATGAGTTGTCAGTCCGCCCCTGGTCCTTTGATGATAAGTCTAACACTGGCAGTAAATATCTCCTTTTGTATTTAATCCTGAACTGTAGGCATATATAAGACATAAATGAATGCAGTTCTGTAGTTCTGTATTCATTATTACATCATTAAATTGCAAGCAGTACAGCAGAGCTCAATTGGAGAAAAAGAAGCGGCACAAAGATAATTGTGACAGGAGGAGAAAGTAGAGTGACAGATGAGCGCATCATCCAGTCTTAGGCTGGTGGTGGGTACAAAGCAATCTGAGCTCAGATAAAGTGGGGTGTAATCTGTTTTCCATCCATTCCTTTTATGACTATTTTAGGCAATTATTTCCAGTGCATGTGGCTCCGGTGTTTAAATGCAGGCGGAGGGCACAGGTGCACTGTCCAACCCCACTGCCACCAGTCTGTCAAACTATGAGAGGCTGGCAGTGGCTGGGCTGTACAATCCTGTTTGTTTTCACTAACCTAGAACAAGCATGTAGTCGATGATAAGCCAAAGTTTGAAAAGACTCTTTGGGTGCCATCCTTGTAGCCTGCAACTGCAAAATCTGTTCAGTAATGTCCTCTCCTTTTACATGCATGTACCTATACATTATTTATTTTACTAGAAAATCCATGGTAAAAGCACTTTTGGCAGATAAACGTGGAGTGGTTATAAAGCTTCCTTTTTTTAATAACAAACATGTTATACTTACCTGCTCTGTCTAGTGGTTTTGCATAGCGCAACACCAAACCCTCTTCTGTAGTCCCTCACCAGTGATTTTGTCTCCTCCTCCTCCCTCCTCCCTCCTATGGCAGCACTCAAGCAGGCTTAATCCTGAGCCAGGCTGTGTGAGTCCATAGTCACACACAGCATTGCTCAGCCCTGCCCCCTGCTTCCTTCTCACAGGAATTTACTGACATCAGCAGGAGCCAATGGCTGCTTCTGAGTCTCCTGTGAGAAGTGAGAGAGCTAGCACAGCACTGCAACGAGATCAGGCTCAAGTGTGATTTTAAGTGGTGGCTAGGGGGGCAACTTTTTTTTGTTTTCTTTTGTTATCTTTTTAATGCAGAGAATGCCTTAAGGTAAACTTTTTACATTTATAACCACTTTGAGATCAAATCTGCTCGTGATCACATGTGACACTCCTGACCAATTAATAACAAGCGTAGACATGCACATTGTGTGTTGGGGCACACCCTAAACCATGGCCAGATCTAGGGGTGTACTGGGGGGGGCTGTGCCCCCCCCCCGATTTCATTTGTGCCCCCCCCCCAAGCCAGATGCCCCTCCCTCCATGCTCATTGTGCCTATGACCACTGAGCTTCCCCCGATCCCCGCACTCAGGGCTGGCCACAGTGGACTGAAATAAACAGTCTGCACAGGAGAAGTGACAGTGGCAAGAGAGAGCGGAGAGGAGATGGACAGGAGAAGTGACAGTGGCAAGAGAGAGCGGAGAGGAGATGGACAGGAGAAGTGACAGTGGCAAGAGAGAGCAGTGGAAGGAGAGAGTGGAGATGGACAGGAGAGAAGTGACAGTGGCAGTGGAAGGAGAGAGTGGAGAGGAGAAGTGACAGTGGAAGGAGAGAGTGGAGAGGAGAAGTGACAGTGGGAAGGAGAAGAGAGAGTGGAGATGGACAGGAGAAGTGACAGTGGCAGGAGAGAGTGGAGATGGACAGGAGAAGTGACAGTGGAAGGAGAGAGTGGAAATGGACAGGAGAAGTGACAGTGGAAGGAGAGAGTGGAGATGGACAGGAGAAGTGACAGTGGAAGGAGAGAGTGGAGATGGACAGGAGAAGTGACAGTGGCAGGAGAGAGTGGAGATGGACAGGAGAAGTGACAGTGGCAGGAGAGAGTGGAGAGGAGAAGTGACAGTGGCAGGAGAGAGTGGAGAGAAGAAGTGACAGTGGCAGTAGAGAGTGGAGAGGAGAAGTGACAGTGGCAGGTGAGAGTGGAGAGGAGATGGGCAGGAGAGAGTGGAGAGGAGATGGGCAGGAGAGAGTGGAGAGGAGATGGGCAGGAGAAGTGACAGTGGCAGGAGAGAGTGGAGAGGAAATGGGCAGGAGAAGTGACAGTGGCAGGAGAGAATGGAGAGGAGATGGACAGGAGAAGTGACAGTGGCAGGAGAGAGTGGAGATGGAGATGGGCAGGAGAGAGTGGAGAGGAGATGAGCAGGAGAGAGTGGAGAGGAGATGGGCAGGAGAAGTGACAGTGGGAGGAGAGAGTGGAGAGGAGATGGGCAGGAGAGAGTGGAGAGGAGATGGGCAGGAGAGAGTGGAGAGGAGATGGACAGAAGAAGTGACAGTGGCAGGAGAGAGTGGAGATGGAGAAGTGACAGTGGCAGGAGAGAGTGGAGAGAAGTGGCGGTGACAGAAGAGAGTGGAGAGGAGAAGTGGCGGTGACAGAAGAGAGTGGAGAGGAGATGCGGGCTTCTCTGTGATCTCCCTCCTCCTGTCATAACAGCGATCCTCCATACAGCAGGATACACAGGATCGCTCTTAGATCCGACAGTGCACAGCTTGATTACCCATCTCCTCCAAAGACTGCTCAACTCCTGGAAATGTGGATGGGGACGGGTAATAAAGTCGTGTACTGTTGTATCTAAGAGCGATCCTGTGTAACCTTCTGTATGGAGGATTGCTGTTATGACAGGAGGAGGGAGATCACAGAGAAGCTGCATTTCCGCACTACTCCTGTAGTTCCCACATGCAAGATTGGGGGAGGGGGAGCTTGTGGAGGAGGGGTGGTGAGGGGGCAGTTTGTGCTTGGAATGGTAATTGGGAGGGATGTGTTAGGAGGCAGGATTGGGAAGGATTTGTGTTAGGAGCGAGGAATTTGGGAACGGCAGGGGCAGACTGACAACTCATGGGGCCCTCGGGCAATAGGGGATCATGGGGCCCCTGTGTCCTTGCCCAAACTAAAAAAAGCCTATGAAAAAGGTACCAGGGGCATCTCATGGGGCCCTCTACTGACCCCGGGCCCTCGGGCAGTGCCCGAGTTTCCAAGTGGTCAGTCCGACCCTGGGGGGGGGGGGGGGGGGGGAATTAGTGCTAGGAGGAGGGAAATTGGGGGAGATTTTGTGCTAGGATGGGGATTTGAGTGGGGATTTGTGCTGGGAAGGGTGAGGATTTTTTTGGGGGGGGGGAATTTGTACTAGGAGGGGGGATTTGAGGAGAGGAATTACACTAGGAGTGGCGTTTTAGGGGGATTTGTACTGGGGGGATTGGGAGAGAATATGTACTAGGAGGGGGGAATTTGGGGAGAGAGTTTGTTTTTTTTGAGGCATGGAAGATTTGTGGGGAATTAGGGGGGATCGGAGCTGGAAGGTGGGATGGGTGGCAAAGATTTGTGTTGGGAGGAGGATTTGGACTGTGAGGATGGGGAATTTTTGGTTGTGTAGAATTTTGGGTTTATCTGCTAAGAGCGTGTTTATTAGTGCAAAGTTTTTTTTTTTATTCCGTAACAGACACATTATCAATCTGCACAATGTGTAAGTGGCTGCTATGCTACAGTTCTGACCTGTGAAATTTCCTGATTGGATTGGCAGTTGCCAGCTACACACTGTGTGGAGGGATATAGATCCCGGCTATGTGCTGTGTGGGGAGGAGGATATCTCTTAAAGCAGAGTTCCACTCAAAAGCAGAACTTTGCTTATTTGCCTCCTCTCCCCCCCCACACCATATTTGACACCTTTTGAGTGGGAAGGGGGAGCGGATACCTGTTTTTGACAGGTACTTGCTCCCAGTGGGAGAGGGTAGCGGATACCTGTTTGTGATAGGTACTCACTCCCAGTGGGAAGGGGGAGCGGATACCTGTTTTTGATAGGTACTCGCTCTCACTTCCGGCTCAGTTCGCCGTGAGTCATAAGTGCGGCCCCTCCTTCCTCCCTCAGTTTCCTGGGAACTTTGACAGGTCCCAGAAGACTGCTGGACAAATCGGAAGGCGCAGCGCGAATCGCACATGCGCAGTGGGCACCAGGCTGTGAAGCCGCAAGCTGTCACAGCCTGCTGCCCAGAGTTGAGATGCCGGCGCCATGGAGGAGTGAAAGAAAGAAGGGAATGCAGGGGTGAGAACATTGCTGGCCCCCGGGACAGGTGAGTGTGTGTTTATTAAAAGTCAGCAACTACAGTTTTTGTAGCTGCTGACTTTTAATAAACACAAAAATGGCTGGAACTCCGCTTTAAGTGCCCTGCTAGCAGTGACCCTGTCCTCAACTCCGCTGACCACTGTCTTCCACCATGCTACCCCTGTCCTCTGTCCTGCTGACCCCTGTCCTCTGCCATGCTAGCCGCTGTACAATGCCTAGATAACCCAGTATACACTGCCCTTCTAACTAATGGCCTTTGTACATTGCCCTACAAACTGCTGACCCTATCCTCTACCCTGTTGACCACACTGCCCTGTTGACCTCGCATCTTCTGCCCCCTTGCTGTTTTTCACTGCATCCCCAAGTCCGCTTGCTACTGCAGGGGATGTTACAGGATGGGGAGCAGGGAAGGGGCCAGTAAATATGTAATTTACGCCCCCCCCCCTTTTTCCTTTTCTGAATCAACACAGTGAGTGATCGGTACCAATCATTTACTGTGTTCATTCATACTTGATGCATAGTAAAATATGTTTTTTACTCTTCTTCAGTTTGTGAATGAATAGGAAGCCGTTCAGCACAGAATACTTCTCATTCATTCACTGTCCAGTGCAACTTGGGCTGAGGAGTGTGTGTTAGTTAAGCATGGGTACTAAACAACTTGATTCCGTGTTTTTGTTTTTTTTTTTTTCAGATCACTATTCCTGCCCTGCCAGTTTCTGTTTCATATCTTATAAATATTACAGCTGCATGCAGAGTATGCTTTTAGTTGGAACACAGATGATTTATACTAGAAGAGTAGCCAAGAATAATGGTTTAAATGCTGTAGTGTTCCAGTGAATTTAACATGATTAATTTAGGTTCCTTTTATGGGCAAATGATATCATATGTTTTCCCAAGACTTGATTATGTGAAAGCAAGAATCTATGTATGCCTCGTTTGTATATAACCTCATATAAAAAGCCAAATGCTATATTACACTTAAGAAAAAGCTAGTTCTGTTAATCTGTTTCTGTTGATTTAATGTGTAA